TCTAATGAGGTTTAAAAATAAATCTCACATTTCATATACATAGAAATAAACTTTGTTATATACATAAATACAATAAATTGTACCACAATCCCTTTCGCATAACCATATAAACAAAATGATCTCATGATCATAATAACTTTATAAAAGAAAAGACATTTATAGTTCAAAACACTCACACACACATTCAGTCTCAAATACACTTGTTAAATCATGTTTGTTACCACTAATCTAATAACTGGCCTCATCTCTGGTCATCACTAGCCTGATAACTGGCCCCGTCTTTTGTTATCATTAGCCTAATAACTGGCCCCTATGTGCACATCTCTATACCGATCACGCCGGTATATAATCTCGTTACCATTTAGATTTGGTAACTCAGTCTCCTTCTCATAAAACATGATTTCAACACACACACTAAAACTGTTGTTTTAGTCTCGTCGCACACAAAATTTCTCTTTCATCACCAAAATCATTTAAGCAATAATATAAAATCATCTCATAAGTTTTGCAAATTCACATGTGTAACAATTCACAATTGTAAAAACATTTAATTGCAACCCCAAACAGCAACATATATCATATATATAAAAAATTCACACACACGCACCCACAAGTTTAATATAGAAAATCCTCCCAAAAGAAATAATAAACTACTCTCCTTGATTTTCAAAATTCAATTCAAAACACTCTTTCTCAACCTCAATAAAATCACCACCTAATTCAAAATAACATTTAACGATCAATCTCTATTTCTAACTTCGTCATTTCGTGATTCTATATTTAATTTACGTACTTTCTACTCTTTGATATATACTTAATATATCCTTTACATATAAACATCTTTTCTAATACGAGGGAATAGGATATGGAAGTATTCTGGGCTGTTTAGAAAAATTTCTAAAATTTGGGGTCAAATTATAATTTTTAAAACTTTTGGGGTCAAAGTATAATTTTCTTAAAAACGAATTTTCTGTCTTCGGGGCTGCCATAAATTTTCCAGAATTCTGTTCTTACAACTTACTGAGTAAAAAAAAGGAACTTAAAATTAAGTTTAGAAGAATAAAGAGGTCAAAATAAAATTCCTTAAAACTAAAGGGGAGTTTTCTGTAATTATTTTTGGATTTTGGCCTTCTTCTTCCGGCGGCAGAACCTGGACCAGTACTTCCTTCCCCCTTTTTTTTTGTTATTCTTTCTCCTTAACATATTGATCAAATTCTATCAACCTAATTTGGGCAAACTTCTTCAAAATTAACATCCATAATAAAACTCATTTATTTATTTACTAATATTCTTTACCATGAACATATATATATATATGATAAACCTAACATCATCTGATTGAATAAAATAAAAAGAGTAATATATATATATATAAAGAGTTTGACCTATCCCACAATACTCCCATATTTAAAACCATATGTATAAGAGTCCTAATAGGTCTCTCTAGCTAGAGATATATTAGTCTTCTTTAATTATTTTTATCTTTATACATATAATTACTCTTAGGTGGCCAATAAAGTAATAATAATTTTTTTTTTTTTGGTAATTACATTCTCCCCTCCTTAAGAGAATTTCGTCCTTGAAATTTATATACCTTGTGAGAACAAATGAGGATATTAAATTTTCATCTTTTTATCCACTTCACAAGTAATTTCCTCGTCTGAGTAACTCTTTTACAACACTTTGACTAATAGAATCATTTTGTTATCTAAAATTACTTGACTCCTCAACATAATTAAAAGTTTCCTTAAGCTTAATATACTGCTCTCACCAATATATAAGGAGAATCAAATATACATACTTCCTGAGCAAAACAACACAAAGTATGTCGTGAAAATGGAACATCTTTACCAAATAATTTTGTCAATTAATCCACAACAACCCAAAATAGATTCGTGCCCAATCTATATCCTGAAAGTCATTATAGAAAATTCATAATAATATACTCTCATTTTCGTTCAAAAATTGAAAAAAGTTGTCATAAACTCGTCAGACACTAATATTCAGTCTTTCTCTATCAGTGTACTACTCCTTGGCTATAAATTCCGCAATCTCTTTTCTCATTCCACCCAACTAATAATAAATTCTCAATATTAACATAATTTTGAAATCCTTGGATAAACATAGAATTATAGGTTATATCTATAATGTCTCTCTTCACCGTATCCTCTTTTGATACCCATAACTCATATCAAAATATAAACATAATCTCACCACAAGTTATAAACTATATCCTGCTATCATGTTACACCTCTTTTAAAATACTCTGCACATGTCTTTTTTTTTTTTTTTTAAAACTAACTGATACGATCTACCAATAAGAGTTTAACTTACAATTGANTAAAATACTCTGCACATGTCTCTCTTTTTTTTTTTTAAAACTAACTGATACGATCTACCAATAAGAGTTTAACTTACAATTGAACTAATAATATATATGTACCAGTAAATATCACACGTACCCCTATCAATCTCAAATCAACCAAATTACTCATTTGGGTACATTGAATACAACACAACTTTTTAATGATTTCTTACTCCGCGTATCGACTACTATAATAGCTTTGTATATATGATAATAATAGAATAATCATAGTCCCTAATCTTTCCATCCATCTCCTTTTTCTCAAATTAAACTCCTTCTCAAGAAATAAATCTTTCAACCTTTGATAATCAAAATAAATCTTACATGTCTTTCTCCATAATTTCAAAGCAAAAACAATTACATCTAACCCAAATCATGAGTAGGGTAATTCCTTCTTTATTGCAAGAATACACATATGTAACATCGATGNATATGTCTTTCTCCATAACTTCAAAGCAAAAACAATTACATCTAACCCAAATCATGAGTAGGGTAATTCCTTCTTTATTGCAAGAATACACATATGTAACATCGATGAATATAGTAATATATAAATCTAGAAAAAGTTGAGANAAGAAATAAATCTTTCAACCTTTGATAATCAAAATAAATCTTACATGTCTTTCTCCATAATTTCAAAGCAAAAACAATTACATCTAACCCAAATCATGAGTAGGGTAATTCCTTCTTTATTGCAAGAATACACATATGTAACATCGATGAATATAGTAATATATAAATCTAGAAAAAGTTGAGATACTCAATTTAATCAATCCATCAAAACAGATATAACATTTGTCAATCATAATGACTTCACCAAAAATACAATGTAACTATCCCAGTTACACATTTTGTTTTCAAAACATCATTATTTCTTTCTTTTAAGGAAAGATAACTCAGCTTAATATCAATTTTATTAAATTATCTAGCGCCTCAAAACTGATTAAATAAATCATCAATACTACATAAAAGATATTTACTTCATGTTGCTGCCTTATTCAGCTGGTAGTAACCTATGTACCATTTTACATTCAAATCATTTTCACAACATGAGCACACCACAACAAATTATTAAGTCGAATAAATCTTCAGTCTAAACTGATTATATACCTTCAGTCCAATATGGANTATTCGGCTGGTAGTAACCTATGTACCATTTTACATTCAAATCATTTTCACAACATGAGCACACCACAACAAATTATTAAGTCGAATAAATCTTCAGTCTAAACTGATTATATACCTTCAGTCCAATATGGAGTAATAATTATAAGTAAAGTACCCAAAGCTACAAAAATATAAATCTTATCTTTCTCCAATGGTGGCATAAACAACTTCTCTCAAAATATATTTGCAAATTNCTAAAGCTACAAAAATGTAAACCTTATCTTTCTCCAATGGTGGCATAAACAACTTCTCTCAAAATATATTTGCAAATTTTCCTTCTATTGATATCTCCTCAAGAGACACTCCCTCGTTCCGTGCAACAATGATACTAGCAATATTTCTCTGAAAATTTTTCCTTACACCATTTTTGAGCTTGCACTAGTAGAGTTAATACTAGGGATTAAATAAATCATGTTCCCTCAAAACTAAATCTGCATGACTCTCTTTTCAAAATAATCGACTTTCATATGTTGTATAACTAATCAGTCCATAATTAATATCATATCAAAATTCCTAAGGTCTAAAAATACTCCATAAACTAGTAATTGTTGTTCTTCAATATGAACCTTACACCTTGGGTACACGATATCACCTAACTCACAACCATCCGTAGGAGTTATCACTATCAAAATCAAACTCAAGTGTTTTGGGTTTCACACTCAATCACACTCCTACTCTATGAGACACAAAAGAATGTATAAACCCTAAAATTCCATTAGTTTCAGTCACATTTCTTATAACACTCTTACCATCTCTTTTTTTTTTTTTTNATCCGTAGGAGTTATCACTATCAAAATCAAACTCAAGTGTTTTGGGTTACACACTCAATCACACTCCTACTCTATGAGACACAAAAGAATGTATAGACCCTAAAATTCCATTAGTGTTAGTCACATTTCTTATAACACTCTTACCATCTCTTTTTTTTTTTTTTCCCAACTATCTCTTGTTTGTACAAAATATCAAGCAAATTATCTAATTTTAGTCATTACACAAATCATTCTATTAACTATTAATATTATTCTGTATCTCTCGAACTAAAATCGATTGAAGCCTACACAACCACNAATTTTGGTCATTACACAAATCATTCTATTAACTATTAATATTATTCTGTATCTCTCGAACTAAAATCGATTGAAGCCTACACAACCACTCGGATCCANGAATCCAGTCTAATCCTCTGGTAAATCATAAACTTAAACTCTGATACCACTCTTCTCACACCCTCACCCCGGATCACATAGGGTGAGCAGCGGACTGGCCACCAAGGCCTTAACCAACCATCCCTGTGCATAATTAATGCAAAATACAGCGGNGGATCCAGCCTAATCCTCTGATAAATCATAAACCTAAGCTCTGATACCACTCTTGTCACACCCTCACCCCGGATCACATAGGGTGAGCAGCGGACCGGCCACCAAAGCCTTAACCAACCATCCATGTGCATAATTAATGCAAAATACAACGGAAGACAAATAATAAAGTGATCCTTTTCACTGACCTAATGAATACCAGAGAAATAAACTAACATCACCGACATTATTACTAAACTTATGTAAAACAATAATTAATCCATAAAGTTCACTACTCTAAGCAAAAATAATATTGTTCTCAAAACAATCGAATATTTGTCTCAAAACTATAAAAATATTTATTCTTGAATACCTACAATAAAATAAATCTTCGATTCTTCTAATCCCTTATCTATCCGAGGAGTTACTCCTCCTCCTGGTCCTCACCTGAAAAATGTTAAATATTTGAGTGAGCACAAAGGCCCGTGAGTAGCAANATTATAAAAATATTTATTCCTGAATACCTACAATAAAATAAATCTCCGATTCTTCTAATCCCTTATCTATCCGAGGAGTTACTCCTCCTCCTGATCCTCACCTGAAAAATGTTAAATATTTGAGTGAGCACAAAGGCCCGTGAGTAGCAACCACCTCTAATGAGATTTGAAAATAAATCTCATATTTCATACACACAGAAATAAACTTTGTTATATACATATATATAATAAATTATACCTCAATCTCTTTCACATAACCCTGTAAACAAAACGATCTCATGATCATAATAACTTTATAAAAGAAAAGACATTTATAGCTNACACACAGAAATAAACTTTGTTATATACATATATATAATAAATTATACCTCAATCCCTTTCACATAACCATGGAAACAAAACGATCTCATGATCATAATAACTTTATAAAAGAAAAGACATTTATAGCTCAAAACACTCACACACATTCAGTCTCAAATACACTTGTCAAATCATGTTTGTTACCACTAGCCTGGTAACTGGTCACATCTCTTGTCATCACTAGCCTGATGACTGGCTCCGTCTTTTGTTATCACTAGCCTGATAATTGGCCCCTATGTGCACATCCCTATATCGACCACGCAGGTATACAATTTTGTTACCATTTAGACCTGGTAATCCAGTTCCTTTCTCATAAAACATGATTTCAACACACACTAAAACTGTTGTTTTAGTCCCATCGCACAAAAAATTTCTCTTTCATCACCAAAACCATTTAAGCAATTATATAAAATCATCTCATAAATATTGCAAATTCACATGTGTAACAATTCACAATTGCAAAAATATTTAATTGCAACCCCAAACAGCAACATATATCATATATATGAAAAATTCATACACACACACCCACAAGTTTAATATAGAAAATCCTCCCAAAAGAAGTAATAAACTACTCACCTTGATTTTCAAAATTCAATTCAAAACACTCTTTCTCAACCTCAATGAAATCACCACCTAATTCAAAATAACAGGTAACAATTAATCCCTATTTCTAACTTCGTCATTTCGTGATTCTATATTTAATTTACGTACTTTCTACTCTTTGATATATACTTAATATATCCTTTACATATAAACATCCTTTCTAATATGAGGTAATATGATATGGAAGTATTCTGGGCTGTTTAAAAAAAGTTTCTAAAATTTTGGGGTTAAATTATAATTTTTGAAACTTTTGGGGTCAAAGTATAATTTCCTTAAAAACGAATTTTCTGTCTTCGGGGCTGCCATAAATTTTCCAGAATTCTGTTCTTACAACTTACCAAGTAAAAAAAAGGTACTTAAAATTAAGTTTAAAAGAATAAAGGGGTCCAAATAAAACTCCTTAAAACTAAAAGATAGTTTTCTATAATTATTTTTGGATTTTGGCCTTCTTCTTCCAGCTGCAGAACCTGGGACCAGTACTTCCTTTCCCCCTTTTTTTTTTTCTTGTTATTCTTTCTCCTTAACATATTGATCAAATTCTACCAACTTAATTTGGGCAAACTTCTTCAAAATTAACATCCATAATGAAATTCATTTATTTATTTACTAATATTCTTTACCATGAACATACATATATATATATATATGATAAACTTAACACCATCTGATTGAATAAAATATAAAACTCATAAATTAAGTAATAAATTCATACCTTTAATGGATTCAAACCTTTTCTTTCTTTCCTCGTTCTTCTTCCTTCCTTTTTCTTTACTTCAAACCCTAGTCTCTCCTCTCCTTTCTCTTATTCTAATGTATGTGTAAGTGTTGGGAAGAGAATATATGTATCTATATATATATATATATATATATATATATATCCCACAATACTACCATATTTAAAACCATATGTATAAGAGTCTTAATAGGTCTCTCTAGCGCAAGACTTTTATTAGAGACATATTAGTCTTCTTTAATTATTTTTATTTTTATATATATAATTACTCTTAGGTGGCCAATAAAGTAATAATAATTTATTTTTTTTTGGGTAATTACAGTCTTTCTGAAGTTTTGTGGTTAATTTACATTCAAATCACAATGTTTGGAATAAAATTTTCTGAGTTCTCTAACCAACAACTTGGCACAAAACAATGAAAGGCAAGAATATGTATTGGGATGGAAGCTTACGGAACGCTCGTAGGAATGAACATGGCCTGCTAATACCAGATCAACTTTGTTCTGAACCAACCAAGGGTCATACATTACCCTCTTGCTTTCTCCTTCCATAAAATGGTAGTTGTTACTGTTATACCACGGAGAGTGAACGAGAATAATTTAGCCATGGTGTCTCGGCCCTGTTAACCTTGGAGAGCTCTTGCTTAAGCCATTTGTATTGTGGAGTATATTTACCTTTAAGAAAAAAAACAATAGTAATATCAGATCTCATCGCAATTCCGAGAGCTCTCCCTTTGTTTGCAATGGAAATTATAGTGTATTTGTTCTTACCATAGGCAGAGTAAGAAGATAACACAATGATATATGCCGATGCACGCTTAATAGAATACCAAAGGGGGGATGTACTCTGAGATGCCCTGTAGGGTACATGGTACCTATGCATATATGGCTTGAAAGGAGTATATTCTTCCTGAAAAATAACATGAAACTATGTCATGACCAACTTAATAAACTGTAAGGACCATCATTCTTGTCAAGACTAAATGTTGCTACACAAAAACTAGCCAAATAGGTTGAAAACCGAGTTGTCAACAGATAAAAAAACATGAAAATGAGATTCCAAGGAGAAATTAGACATAGGTGGAGAGGAGGGAAAGTGAGTCTTGAAAACGAGACTCACTGTTTTGAGGCATATGTTTGCCCCAAGTCACCTGCAGCATCAATATAAAGCATACAAAATCAGAAGGAAAGAATAAACAAAAGGGTGTGAAAATCACTGGAAATGCAGGGAATTATTGGCACTGACCCATAATGCCAAATGTATAGGGAACGTCAGGTCCTACTTTGGGAGGAGTTGTGAGGGAGAATCGACGGGTTACGTTCTGTTTTCCAAGTTCATAAAAGTACAATGTGTCGTACTGCATAAACAAACCAAATCGAGTAATCATGCCCATTGTGCCCGCAAACAAAGCTAGTGTAGAGTATAGGAAAGCCATACAAACTTGGTTCAGAGAGAATAATGTTGTACAATACGAGTTTGAGACTATCTGATATACAATTTGATTTTCCATAGTTTTCGTGACTCAAATCCAAGCGCACAACTTTCCTGCTACACCAATACTCTTCTATGAATTATAAAATGAATGTTCTTTTAAACACAGATTATTTAAAACACAGTTCACATAGTTTCCTTTTGCAAGTTGGTTCATTGCCAAGACATATGGCATCGGCAGACACACAAAATAGTCAATGTAACGGTTCATCGCCGTCACATGGAGTAACCGATCAACTATAAACAAAGAAATAGAACAAATGAACCCCACTAATCCTATATGCCAGTTTTGAATGTGGAAGTTATTAGTGGTTATACAATTTGGTGGGATCCACTAATCTTACAGGGTTGTTCATAATCTGTCGGTTACACCACGTGTGGCGTAATCGTTACATTAAATATTTACACCCACATAAGATCTGTAAAAAATGTAATAAATGGAATTGTAAACACTTACATTTACTTTTTTGATAGTGGCATGGTGAATATAGCCAGAGGAATAATTGTAGTATCTGTAAAAAGTGGTTATAGAATGAATCTTGTGCTTTTCATCTTGTTTGCCATCTTCCCAATAGGTCACTACATTGGGGTGTCTCTCTAATGGCGTCACCCATGATATGATCACACCCCGACCTACATGATCTCCTTGCGTTATGTGAACCTGCATGTTCATAAAAATGACTGTTTCTGTATTACAATTACAATGACAACACAAAACCATCAAAAGAACAAACAACATTAAATTAGATACGTCAAAAAGGTCAATTAAATGGGTCAAGTCGAGGTTAACACAACACGAATCTGTTAAACTTATACATGATTTGTATATGATACAAATTCCATTATATATGATTATTTACAAATTAAATATGAATTTAATTAATTTTAACACGACTTAGATAGTATTGTACTATGATATTCTAGTAGCATAGTTTTAACTCTTAACGGATGTGGGATGTAGCATGTGGCACGTAACGGAAACAAAAAATTGAAAGAGTTCAATGGTTTAATAATAGGGTTTCTATATAAGCAGCCAAGTTGAAAAAATAAAAATTACTATCAACAAATTAGATTCAAATAACATTATTGAATTGGTATTTTAACTTTCTGCAACTCCCAAAATTCGACGTACAGAAGCTGAAATTTTTACAACAAAAGGTTTAAATGTTTCTTGAAGATAAAAAAGAAAGAGGTGGAAATTTTTGAGGTTTCCAGAAAATAACGGAGTATGAAAAATAATATCACCATTATAACGGCATTTTCAAAACTATGGCCGGTAATAATGGCAAGAGTGTTTTAGCATGCAAAAAAGATAAACACGTGGACTTTCTAGAGTTATTACACATAAATAAATTAACATAAATCTTATTAAACACGATACGAAATCACTTATATGAACATAATTATATACGATTATAAATAAAACAGATATGAGTGGATTACATTGTAACACTATATAGCTTGGACACAGCACAAATCCGAAACCACCCATTGAAAGTCCTGAAATAAATAACCTAGTCTAAAATAAGAAAAAATAGGTCACTCAAAAAGACACTAAACCAAAAAAAAAAAAGCTAGAGTGGTTTTTAGTAAAAAGGTTTCATGCATGCATGCATGAAGTGATACCTGCTCAGGGGCATTATAGCCAGAAGGTTGAGGGAAGTGCTCAAGTGGAATGTCAATGGCTGGTTCAGCTTTCCTCACATATTGACTTGTGGAACCTCCACTGCACAACCCAANGAGTAGGTCACCCGAACCGAACCACTATAAATTTGTGTGTTTTGTACTTATTTATTGTTTTGTCATTGATTGCCTATTTACTGCTCATTAATTGTGTCTCTTGATGCACTCGACTGTTGATTTTGCTCAATATCGATTTGTACATCATCAGTTTAGCACCGTCTCTGGGAACGACTAGTTTCCTACTCTCTTTCAATCCATGACAATCACTACCAGATCGATGAGCCAACAGCAAGGAAACAACAACCTAGCCCACCTACCCTCGCACCATCAAAACCATCAACTACAGCGACCCCCGTCGTCGGACAACAAATCCTCTAAACCATACAACTATTGGTGAACCAAAACCAGCAGATCATCCAACTGATGCTCACCCATGGGGGTGTCACCCTTCACCCTGTGGGAGAAGCCCCACTCCCTCCAACAAGAGAAGAGTAGCAACTCCTCCCTTCGGGGCGTCAGGCAGCCCCTCACCATGGGGGCCCTCACCAGAATGCCCCAAGGCCACATCAGGGCACCCCTCACCCAGCAGTCCCTCCTCAGCGCGCAAGGAGCTCTCATGCATCCCCTCCGCACGTATTTGCGCAGGAGAACGAGGACGGAGAAAGCCAATATGGGGACCATGAAAGCCAGTACCACCACCCAACTGAGGATGTCCCTAATCAGTGGGACGATAAGATTAGAGAGGTGCAAAATCCACTTGGTGATGCCCTCAACGCCATCAAGGCACAGGTGCCTAAGACCGTAGACTACCTGGTAAAACGTACTAATACACCTTTCGTTGCTGATATAGTCAATTATCCCTTAACCTCGAAGTTCAAGATGTCTGTCATCAAGATCTTCAACGGCACCAAAGACCCCCTCGACCACCTGGACACCTACAAATCCCTCATAAAACTCCACAATGTGCTTGAGGAGATTATGTGTAGAGTCTTCCCTACCACCTCAAAGGGACCGCATGCCAATAGTTTGCAAAAATCAAGCCCTCTTCAATTCACTCCTTCACGGAGTTGAGCACATCCTTCGTCTCCCACTTTATTGGGGGGTGCCAACATTAGAAACCAGTGGTCCACCTGCTCACCATCAAGCAGGATATGGATGAGAGCCTCAGGGAGTATCTCAGCCGCTTCAACGAGGTGGCTCTCCAGATTGAGGAACCAGATGATAAGATAACCCTGGTCGTCTTTATCGTCGGTCTTCGCACTTCTAGTTTTATGTTCTCCGTCCTCAAGAAGCCGTCATTCAGCATGCCTGAGTTGCTGTCAAGGGCACAAAAATACATGAATGTCGAGGACGTCACCAAGGCTCCTAGAGGTGAGTCCTCCCGAGGAAGAGAGAAAAGGAAGGACACTCGTGAAGACAAATGGGAGGCAAAGAACAAGAGAAAGAGAACCAAAAGAGTCTCTGTCAAGGATCGTCTCGATCCATACCCCCTAGAGAACAACAGCCTTTCACACCACTTAACGCCTTTGTGGAACACATCCTATTCCAAATACAAGATGACCCCACGCTCCGTTGGCACGAAAAAATAAAGTCTACCGCAAACCGTAGAAATCACAGCAAGTACTGTTGTTTCCACAATGACCATGGCCACGACACTGATGACTGCTATGAGCTCAAGAGGTAAATCGAAGAGCTCATACAGCGTAGCCAGTTGAGGCAGTACGTTGCTGGTAGAGGGCAAGTCCCGCCACCAGGCCGGGACCAGGACGATAGCGAACACCAGCAACCCCTCGGAGAAATTCAAACAATCTCCTGAGGGCTAAGAGGAGGCGACTCCAACTCCGCCAAGGAAATATTGGNGTTGTTTCCACAATGACCATGGCCACGACACTGATGACTGCTATGAGCTCAAGAGGCAGATCGAAGAGCTCATACAGCGTAGCCAGTTGAGGCAGTACGTTGCTGGTAGAGGGCAAGTCCCGCCACCTGGCCGGGACCAAGACGACAGCGAACACTAGCAACCCCTCGGAGAAATTCAGACAATCTCCTGAGGGCTAAGAGGAGGCGACTCCAACTCCGCCAAGGAAATATTGGCCCACCTATGGGATACCGAACACCTCAAGATTTTATCTATCTTTTATTGTTTCAGTTGATTTATTTTGTTATTCGTTATTTTATGAAATAAATTTTTGCTAAGATTATTGAATCCATAATTGTCTTGTTTTCATTTTAAACAGCTTATGACCTAACAACAACAAGGTAAACAAAAAGACATCAGTCATTATACTCCCAACAATCAATCACTATTCCCCGAGCAACTATCATCAAGGCTATCCCCATCATTACTGGTGCATCATATGGGACAAAGTCAGAGAAATCAGTAGTGGCCCTCTCACCAGCCTCAGGTGCCCCGCTCCTAAACGCCCTCCTCATCTCCTTCATCTCTATGGAGTGAGCCTCTGCTCTAGTAGCTCTCTCAAATGCTACTTGAGGGTTAGCCTCAAGTTGAGCAGCTTTCTCGTGCGCTAGCCTCAACTACTCTACGGCATCCTCTTGTGTCTACCGTCCAAGCCCTACTTGCTCCGGGGCATCCTCTCGTGTCTGTCGCTCGAGCCCTAATTGCTCTGCAGCATCCTCTCATGCCTGCCGCTCGAGCCCTAACTGCTCTACGGCATCCTCTCGTGCCTGCCGCCCGAGCCTTACTGCTCCGCGACATCCTCTTGTGCCTGTCGTTCGAGCCCTAACTATTCTTCAGTAGCCGTGCATGCCTGCCTATCCACTGCGTGACCATCTAATGCCTCCCTGATCTTCAACGTACTCAAAAACAAGTAGAGAAAAGTAACAGCCACCTACATGCATTTAAAGGTAAAGTGTAAAGGAGAAAGGTCAGGCAAAAAATTCAAAAAAAAGAATGCAGGACATACCAAAACAAAGCCCTCCATGGCAATGTCAACAATGCCCTCCAGGTCTCGAAAGGCAACCTCCTCCATCCCCAAGAGTCACAAACCTCCAAAGCCACTCCTTGATCGAAGCCAAGTCAAAGCATGCACACCGAGCAAGGTGGAGCTACAGTCCCCATGGGAGACCGCACTAGAATCTCAACTCTTACAGCGGTATAAGAGCTAGCTCTAGTACACAAAGAAGTTACAACTTGGGAAGGTGTGGGGGTACTATCGGATCTCGTTCTTGGGAAGCAACCTGACCATCGGACCTTGACCAAGAAGCACTAGAGGCACCAAACCTTGCCCTCCTAGGAAAAGGGGAAGACACCACCTTAAAAACACCAAAGAAGCGACGCCCATAACAAAACTCAAGGCGTCACCCAAGGCGCCTGCCCAGTCTTCTGGCATCACTCAAAGCACTGACACCTTCCTCCACTGAAGCCTCCTTGCTCGTACCCAATTAAGCACCAAGAATTCCAAAGGGCCTCTCGCCTCTTGCCAGGACCTCATAAAGACCGCCATGAGGAGGAGTATCCAAGTGACCAAGGCCCGAAGGGGGTCACCTAAGTCCCTAGCGCCGCCCAAGGAGGCTCCGCCCATGGGGCCCCCAGTGCTTCTCCTCCTCTTTGTTCTTTGCCAAAGCCATGAACTCCTCTGCCTGTATCATGCCCAACGGCACCTGAGGCATGGGCGCCGCCCTTATCACCTCCTCTATGTTCCTCGATTCCATGGTCCAAGACTTGGGCGCCATCAACAAACGAACAAGGGGTGTCGCGTGCAAAAGTAGAGGCATGGGTGTCGCCCTCTGAATAAGCACCACCATGGATGCTGCCCATCGTGTCACTCTCTTGGGCGCCGCCTATGAGATCAAGGCCACGAGCTTTTCTTTGCTCCACTTCATGAATTTTTGAATAGTGAAAAGTGGTGTTGAATAGTAAAAAAGGGGGTTGAATAGTAAAAAATGGTGTTGAATAGTGAGAAAGGGTGTTGAACCGTGAACTCCACGATGATGAACAATGGAAATGGGATTGAACAGTGTGATGAACTGTAAGAAATGGAGGAAGATGAGATGAACAGTAACCTCTATTTATAGACAAAGAAGCAGTGCAAAAACCAAACAAAAAATTTAGCGAGTCCCTGAGGATAAAAAGATACCGTGGGAAGCAAAAAAATTTCCGACTCACCCAGATAAAGACAAAGCACATGCCCAAAACTCCTTCCTCTCACAAAAAAGTCAAAGGCTTGGGGCATGGGGGCAAATGATGAGCTCGAAATTAACTGAGCTAGGCCTAATTAATATAAACCGAGAAAGCCCAATCAAAGCTGGGTTCACCCATCAAAAGGAGTCCAAATCACCGGAGCCTAAAAGGAGTTGAATAGTGAAAATGGGTGTTGAATAGTGAAAATAGGTGTTGAATAGTGAGGATGGTGTTTTGGGTGTTGAATAGTGAAAATGGAAGTTGAATAGTGAAAATGGGTGTTGAATAGTGAGAAAGAGAGTTGGACTTGTCCACAAATCAAGAAGGAATCAAATGGAACCCAAGTCAAAGGACGCACCCAAGAAGGCACCGCCCAAAGCATTAGAGGGCGTCGCCCAAGTCATCCCCAAGTCAGGCGCCACCTAGTGCTGGCCCTCCTGGTTCCTCTTTCGCTCCCTTCTCAGAGCTGATTGTACCCTTATCTCCAAAGGTAATAGTTTTACCTTAAAAGAATGTAACCTGCCTTGTAGAGGTTATAACCTCACCTCTAAAAGTGGTATATTTATCTCTATAGGTTGTATCTTAATCATAACGCTGTGTTTGGTATGTAGGATTAAACTTTAGGAATTGAATTATCATTACTTAGGAATGCTTATTCCATTGTTTGGTTTATGGTAATGAAAATTTATTCTCATTCCTAATCATTCCTTACGAATAACTAATACCACAAAACATAGGATTAGTGATTACCAAATTAAACGTGAAATTGCCCATTCCCCAAATCAATGGTAATGAAACCCAATTGATTTGACCAAACAACTCGATGGTCCTGATCTTTTCCCCTTCTCTGTTTCTCTGTTCTCCTCTCACTCTTCGTCTTCTTCCCTACCCATCCCCCCTCTCTCTCTCTCTCTCCTCACATCACCTCAATGACGACTACTCCCTTGCTAGGAACCATGGCAGTACCTCTATTCTCTGCCTCCTCAGCTCCTTGTGATGCAAGGAACCNCCTACCCATCCCCCCTCTCTCTCTCTCTCTCCTCACATCACCTCAATGACGACTACTCCCTTGCTAGGAACCATGGCAGTACCTCTATTCTCTGCCTCCTCAGCTCCTTGTGATGCAAGGAACCATAACAACGATCGGGACTACATCTATGACCATACAAGATCTGCCCTTGCAACCAATCTTAGGTAATACCTCAATCAATTTCGTCAACAATCTCATATTCATTTTAGATTTTTATAAGGGTTAACATATTTTCTTTCTTTTCTCATTTCCTGAACACATGATTATTAAAGGAAGACAATGTTGAGAAAATACAATGTATTGTTAGATTTAAACTCAATTAGGACTGATACATTGGTTCTCCTTTATTTTTATGTATTTTTTCTTTTGTAGAATGTTTGTTTCTCTGTGCCAATTTTAATTGCTACAATATTTAGTAATTTAACCTTTAAAGTAAATACATTTTGTCGTGCTTGAACTAAGAAT